GGCCAAGGCATTGGGGAAGGGCTGGGAAGATCTGGGTTCAAATGATGCCTCAGCAGACCAGCGGGTGGCTGGCTAACCTCCTTAGCCTCAGTTTCCTTATCTGTAAAAGAAGGTGAATAATTAATTACCTCGGGCCCAGATGAGATAATGCATATGGGGGGACCCTGTAAAGGCCAGCGGGATGGTGATAATGAGGCCAGTAAACATTTATTAAGCACCTAATGTGTTCTGGGCCCGGGGCCCAGCATTTTGTCCGGCCTGCTTGAGAGGGGAAGCCTCCTCCCCTGACTCCTGGCTTGTTGACCACGAAGCCTACGGAGAGGTGACCGCCCGGGCCGTGAGGCAGGGGACGAGGGGAGAGTAAGAGGTGCCTTCTGGTTCCCCTTGTGCCCGTGCCCCTGGGGCGTGACCCGGGCTGTGGGGTCCCCGGCTGGCGGCCGCCTGACTCCCAGGGTGGAGTGCTCTCCAGTCCCCAAGGGATGGCAAAGTCGTCGTGCACTGGGGTGTGTGGGAGGGGTGGGGGGAGGGTATGGAGAAAGCACTGGACTCAGGAGTCTAGAGACCTGGATTTGAGTCCTCTCTGACATTTACAAACTGTGATACTGAACCACTCAGAGGTCCAGTTTGCTCATCTGTAAAATGGGACCGATAATACTGCATTACCTACCTCAGGAGAGGATAGTGGGTCAGCCTTGGAGGCAGGAAGACCCACCTTTGAGTTCTGCCTCTGACACATGCTGGCTGTGTGGCCCTGGGCAAGTCACTAGCCTCTAGGTACCCCAGGTCACTCTCAGATCTGCCCTGGTGGACGGAGTTCTCAGTCCCAGAGAACGGCTTTGTGAATCTTAGAGTCTGTAGGAATGGGAGCAAGAAATGACTTGTAGTTTGCAGTGGAATCATGAAAAGGCTTCCTGGGGAGGTGGCATTTGAACTGGGCCTTGAAGGACAGACAAGAATGTCAGCTGGCAGGGAGGGGGAGGGGGCGTGCTGGAGCCGGGGCTTCATCTTGCCCTCCCCTGCCTTGCAGCTACTGCTACCAGTGCCAGAGCCAGGTTCCTCCTCGAAGCGGGCACTGCCCGGCCTGCAGGGTCTGCATCCTTCAACGGGACCACCACTGCCTGCTGCTGGGGCGCTGTGTGGGCTTCAGCAATTACCGGCCCTTCCTGTGCCTGCTGTTCCATGGGGCGGGCATCCTGCTGCACGTCACAGCCCTCCTGAGCCCGGCCCTGGGTGCCCTGCTGCGGGCCCACTCTCAGCTGCACGCCGTGGTGCTGCTGCTGCTGCCCTGGCTCATGCTGCTGACTGGTGAGGGGGCTGGGCCCGGGGTGTGGTGGGGCGTGGCAAGGTGGGGCAGGGTCGTCCCCCCCCCCCCCCCCCCTCCCCAGCCCTCACCTGCTGTCTGCTCCCTTCAGGTGGCGTGTCCCTGGCCCAGTTCGCCCTGGCCTTCATCGCGGACACGTGTGTGGCCGGCGCCCTGCTCTGTGGGGCTGGGCTGCTTTTCCATGGGATGCTGATGCTGCGGGGCCAGACCACCCGGGAGTGGGCCCATGGCCAGCGCCTCTATGACCTGGGCCCCTGGCGGAACGTGCAGGCTGCCCTGGGCTCCCGCTGGGCCTTCGTGTGGCTCTGGCCCTTCCTGTCCTCCCCACTGCCTGGGGATGGGATCACTTTCCAAACCACAGACTGAGGAGGAGCCCTGAAGGGCAGCATCGAAGGCTGCAGCCAGGCAACCCCCTCTGCCTCAGCTCTCCAGGTTTGGGATCAAATTCTCCAATGCCCCCACCCAGCAGGTCCCTCCCATCCCTTCTCCCTGCCTGGCCCTTGGAATTTGTCTTCATTGGGACACCCCTCCCCCCCCCACACCCCGCCCCGGCCACCGTGATGAGGGTGGGCCTGCTGGGCCCAGCTGGGCCTGCCCCATTTCCCACCACAATAAAGTCTTGATGTCCCTTGGGGTTTTGTCTCCTGCTGTCAGTGATCTGGCCCCCAGCCTGCTGCTGCGTGGGAGCCCCTCTGGCCATCCTGAATCAGACCATGGTGGTCATTTAACAGGCCCAGAGGGGTCAGGCGTATGGCCAGAGTCCAGTGGGGGAGCCTGGATTTGAACCTGGGCCCCACTTCCAAAGGGTGTTGGGCAGGGGCAGGGGTGAGGCTCCCCTGGGGGCTGAGGGGCTTTCCAGCTGGTATTTGGTACCATTCAAGGTCTGCAGTGAGCCAGTGTCCCACCTCCCTGTGCTTGGATGTGGAGAGGCAGCTTGGGGGAGTAGGGAGGTGGGGGGGGGGCGAGGCCTGCTACTCTACCTCTGTGGGTGGAGACCAGGTCTCCCCCACCCCGCTCCCCAGGCAGGCCCTCAGCCCCTTCACAGAGGCCCCCTCTGTGGGCCTGATGGGTGTGACTGGTTTGAAGTGGTGGAGGGAGGGTCTTCCCTGGGGCTGCCCAGGTTTCTCCCAGATCTGTCTGTCCACCCAGTGACCCCTCTCTGTAGCCGTGAGGCTCCGGGAGCGCTGTGACAGCTCTTTTTCAGGAGCTGGATTACTGTCCGCTTGGGATCGTAGAACTGTGAACCCTCAGAGGCCCTCTGACTCACTGCCAGGTGAGGAAACAGACTCTGAAAGGTGGTGAGCCGGCCTGAGCTCACACAGCTTGTGAGCCCCAGGACTGAGATCTGACCCCAGGGCCTGGCTCTTTTCACTGCGCTGGGGTGGATGTTGTGGAGAGATTGAGAGAGCACTTCAGGGTTTGTGAACTGCTTTATCAATGCCTCAGATGATCCTAGCATGGAGCTGGAGGTATTCCCATTTTACAGATGGGGCAACTGAGGCTGAGAGGGTTACCTGACTTGCCCAGGGTCACAGCTGGTGGCTTCCTGACTCCAGGCCCAGCACTCCGTGCCCTGTGGCACCCCCTGGCTGCCTGGAGATGTCAGCCCCGAATCAATGGTGGTTCAGTGCAGCACACAGAAACGCAAGCGCCGGCTACCCTCACAAAGACAACGCACTTGTCTGGTGGCACAGCGCCAGGGCTTTATTGCATTGGTATCTGGCTGCCCGGCCTACCTGTATAAAGCTCTCCGTTTCCAGAGAGGGAGGCCCCTCAGCTGAGGCCTGATTCGGGGGCAGTCCCTAAGGAGTGGTGGGCAGGTGGGGGGCTCCTGGCTTGTGTTACACAAAAGCGGCTTACGAAAGGCTTGCTCTTCGAGGCCAAGGCTAAGCAAAAAGCTGCTGCTGCAGTCTCTACCTCCCCCACAGGGCTTGGCTGGAACAAGGCTCCGCCTGGAGTGGGCAGGGGGGCCCAGCGCTCCTGGGAGCCATCCCGGGCTCACCTGTGTGGAGCTGCACGGGACCTCGGGCCATCTAGTCAAAGCCCAGCATGAGGAAGGGACCCACGGGCAGGGAGAGCTGGAAATGGGCCAGGGGCCTCTGACTCCTAATGAGGCTGCTACCCTGAGAGAGGAGGAGGAGGCCAGGCTGCCTGGAGGCTCCTTACTTGTTTAATGACAGCAGCCGCCAGGCCTTAGGGGGAGGAAGAAGATGTTCTGGGAGGCGTGGCTTCCAGGAGAAGTCCCAGGAGGAGCTGCGGTCAACTGGGGGGCTCTGCTCACTGCCTCCAAAGCCCCCTCACAAGGCTGGCCTCCACTTCCTGCCTCTACATTGAGGTCGGGGCCTGGCTCAGGCAGCTACCAGCCCCTCACTCACAGGCATGTTGATGTGGGCACTCAGCAGGGGTGCGCTCTGGCCCTCACGAAGCACCAGCACCTGGGGGTGAGAAGCCCCCCCCCCCCGTCAGGTCAGGTGGGAGGGGAGGATGGGTGAGGTGAGGCAGAGCAGGACCCACCCAAGAGCTGATGCCCAGAGCTCTGCTTGCTCTGACAGGAGTGCCTCAGGGGTGACCCACCTTGATGACATCCGAGATGCCTTTATCACTGAGACACTCCACGAAGGTCTCCAAGGGGTAGCTGAGGCCGGGTACCAACATGGGAACCTGGGGTGGGGGACAGATTATGTATGCTGGAGGCTCACCAAGGCATGAGAAAAGGGAGCTGGACGTGGAGGCCCCCGGCGGGCTCTGGGGGAGGAGGCCTGTGGGCTCCCACCTTGAAGAAGGCCCGGGGCAGGGCGTAGAGGGACTCATTGTACAGGCAGGAGACCAGCAGGCCCATGGCAGGGCGGACAGCAGAGGTGTTCTGGAGGTGAAGGGTCAATTTGAAGGTGGGCCCCAAGCCCTGAACCTGGGGGAGACACAAAGCCTCAGAAATGGGTCCGGAAGGCCACGTGGGACACCTGTGCCACCATGCCATGTCCTCTTCCTGACTGGGGGCATCGAATCCAATCTAGACCTCCAGCCACGCCCGCGATGCCCCCACAAGCTGACCTCCACCCTGTCTGAAGACATCCAGGGACTGGGGGAGGAGCTCACTGCCTCCAGGGGCGGCTCTCAGTGTCCGAAGTGTTTCCTTGAACAAAACCCAAGCTGGTTTCTTTATGACTTCCCACCCGCAGTCCTTGTGCCCCGCCCCCACTTTTGGACACCGCCCCTCTTCTTGGCTGGGTGGTCCCACCCAGTAGGGTCTCCATCCACCTGAATTTCATGGATTTCTACCTTGCCTAGCCAGCCCTGGCCAGCACCCTGTCATGACCCCCAGAAACTTCTCACGGATGGACATAAGGGTTTCTTGGACCTCCCTCCACCAAAGCAGGACCACACAGCCAGGACAGGTTAGTGGTAGTCTTATGGACTTCCAAGCCAGCCTTCTATCCACTAATCTTTACTGCTTCAATTTCTAATCATGACCCAGTATGCCCTCCTCACCCGATTCTCCCATCTGATGCTCGTGCCCTAGAAACGTAGGCAGGGAAGAGTTGATTTTCCTCATTTTACAGATGAGGCCCAGAGAGGGTATGTAACTCCTAAGGTCACACAGCATTTCTCAATGTGCACTGCCACTTACCTAAGTGTCATCTCCTCTTCCTTAGGACCCAGCTGCCTCAGCCTTAAGTGTGCCTTCACTGACAGAGCTCAGTGGCTCCCACAAGTCTGGGTGGGTGCATTTCAGGAGCTGCCATGGCGACTGCCCTGGCCCGCAGACAGCAGACAGGGGAAACCTGCCCAGTGGCAGGACCTGGCAGCCCAGGGCCCCCTCCCCCTGACTTGGGGCTGAAGTGCTGGGGAAGACTTGGCGGGGGGGGACTTAGATCTCCCTGCTCTGATTTCTTACTGACCTTTCTCCTCGAGCCCACCCCCCAAGCTCCTTCCCCTCCCTTGTTCACCACAGCATGTAGCTTGAGGGGCTCCCGGAGGGTAGCGGACACAGGGTTCAGGCTGGACTCCAGGGCCTGCACGTAGGCGCGAGCTGCGCGCAGCCGGAGCAGGTAGAGGTCCATCTGGAAGGCTCGGTGCATGGCTGCGGAAGGGAGGGGTTTCGTGGGGTGGGATGGCATCCGGATGCCCAAGGCTGCCTGCCATTCCAGGGGGATTCTGGGAGGAGTGTGAATGGGACCGAGAGGGTGGTGGGATCAGGGCAGCTTCTAGACACCAAGAATATGGGCAAAGGGTGAAAAGGGGAGGAGTCAGGAGAAGGCAGATAGGTGGAGGCCAGCAGAGTGTTGGACGTGCCCCGACTCCCCCAAACCTATGATTGGCTAAAATGCCTGCGCGAACAAGGGAAGAGCCTGGGCCTCGAGCCTCACCAGTGCCGGCCTCTCGCTCTCGCAAAGTCTGGTCCACATAGAGTCTGGTCTTTCGAGGCACGTTGAGCCTCAGGGCTTGGGCTGGCGGGGGGCCTGCCTCTCCAGCCCCTTCCCCGAATACTGCCGTTCGCTTCAGAATCTTGATAACCAGGCCCCCGCCTAGAGAAGAAGGAGAAGGCCAAGCTGCGGTGACCTCCCCCACCAGCAGATCTGAGGCTTTGAAATGTGGCTTTATGGGGCTCACCCCCTCCCCTGCCTCACTCCCCTGGATCATGCTGTCCCCCTGACCTCGAGTCGTCATGATAAGGGTATTATCCTCTCGTCCATAGCGGCCAAAGCAGAGGCTGGTCACTGCATCCTGGGGAAGACACAAAGGACAGCTGAGGCAGGAGTAGGGGAGATAGTAGGTGTGAGATATAAGGAGGAAAACTCAGGTTGAGGGCATGGAAGAGGGCAAGGGCAAAAGAAGGGGACCCCCACTCCGCCAGACTTCGAGGACTCACGGGAGTGCGGATGATGTTGAGAAGGGCCTTATCTCTGTAGATGCGCATCTCCCCATTGGCCAATCCAGCCATGACGGCCTGCAGACCCCGGGAACGCTGTTCCAGGAGACTCATTGTCAGGATGGGCGCTGGCATGGGCACCGTCCACAGCTTCTTCCCCTGTGGGTGAGCCAGGGAGTCAGAAAGCCTCAGGCTGGAGATGAGGGATGATGGGGGCACAGAGACAAGTTATGGAATGAGGATGTTCAGGGGTATGAGCACGTGAGCTTTGACCCCGAGGCCAGCACCTTGTGGGTGAAGCTGTGGAGCATGTCCTGGGTGCTGCCCACCACGAGGGTCTTGTGGATCCGGACGAGCCCTACAGGCTGGGCACTCAGCTCGATGCAGTATTTAGGGCGCTTGCAGTCCCTGTGGAAAAACAGATACCAGACTTCTGGGCCAGATGGACCCTCCCTCCACTCCTGTGCTTCTTCCTGTCTCTTATGCATCCCTTGCTCTCAGCCTCCTTCCTGCCCCTGCTGGGACACACGCCGGGACCCAGAACCAGTTCCTAGGCCCTGACATTCCCAGATCCCCATTTGAACCCTGGCACCTTCTCAGGATGTAGATGTTACCGTCCCGGCAGGCAGCCGTGAGCCAGAATTCCACGTCAAACTGCCCTGACGCCTCCAGAAATACAGGGACGCTGGGCAGGTTCATCTGGATGGAAAGGCACCAACGTCCTGCCTAGCTCCTGGCCCGCCCTGTCCATGCCCTTCCTCGCC